GCAATGTAATCGTCTCGCAGCTCTGTCTACTAACCAGTAGATTTATTGTAATCAGGCGAGTCTGAACGGGCAGCACTATTAACATAACAAACATCTCCTGCTTTCTTGCTACAATTTATCATCGTTTTGGACCTGCAAGTTGACGGAACTTCTCAGAGCATTAAGACTCATTGTTTGCTGTATTACTCACCAGTTTCATCAATGTAAATACTCTGAATTTTTGGACAACTAGGATGTTGTCCATACTCGCACTACGTTTTTATAAAAAAGTTTATTGACAGGTATCGTTATGCTTTTTCTAATCTCTTGTATTTAGATTACTTCATTAACTATATTTACTGAACAGAAAACAAACTAATTTGATAAAATTAAAACAAAGTTTACTTCTTTTCGTGTGTCCTTCATATTCAACCCTATAGCTGCTAGATTAAACTACACAGCCGAAATGGAAGGGAGGAGTCGACCAGGAAATAACATAGACCTGAAGACAGTAATCTTTTCTTTACTGTCGCCATAGAGACTACATAAAGTATATTGGAAACATGAGTTTAAACTCGTTTCAAAGAACGAAAATGAACATGTAGTCTTCATTACCTGTATACAGTCACCAGATTTTACATTCTCAGGGGAGTTTCCATGAAAGTAATGGGACCAGGAGGCTGCAAAATTATATATCTGGAAGGAAATGGTACGTTGAAGTTTCTCTCACTCAATGGGTTTACTGCCATAAACAACCTGCTTTTAATGCTTTATTGCAGTTTTTTTTCATGTACTTCATTTTATTGCACCACCATATATTCAATGCCAGATTAATTAAAGTTGTAACAGCAAGGTGTGCAAAACGAATATCGTTTTTCTGCAATCTTAGTGCAAATATTATATTCGGTGTTATAAATTATCTGGAACTTAAAACTCAAATATATGAAAGAGTGAATTTTTTTTTACCTTACCCAGATCTTCCTAAAATGTTTTATTGGAATGTACAATTCTTCTCATAATGGGTTTCTTGCACGGCTTTACTTTCAAAGAGTCGTACATTTTTTCCAGAACATCTTTTATAGCTATTTTTTTGTTAGTCACAGAAAAATTTTAGTAACTCGACTATAAATATGAAAGAATCAATATTATTTTCATTATAAGCTTTGAGGAATGTTTCCTTATAACTTCTACATGATGTCAGGTGGATTTATAGTGTTAACTTTAATGTCAGAACATATACAGAAACGAATGAAAAACAGCACATAAAGGCTTCATACTCCTTAGCTGTAAGCAGCCATGTTGGTCATCTGTTCTCGGTAGTTAATCACAAGTTTCACTTCCAGAACTTTTATCTATAGATCGTCTCTTTCTTTAAGTTTGACAGAGATATACTTTTAAAAATGAACTAATTAAAAAGAATATAGCTAATTCACTCGTTTCTTACAATCTACATGTCTGCATAAAATAGTTTCTTTAGCAGTATTGACTTCAAACTATATCTATTACTGCATGTAACATTGTGTATAGCCAAATCCATTTTAATCTTTGAGCATGTAAATATTTTATAAATGAACAACGAAAACTAATTCAAGTACGGTACATTCTGTAAAAAGTATGTTGTTAGATTGTATATTTCAAAATTGAAATTTTGTGAAAACATAAATATAACTAATATAAATACATATTTTTCTGAATCGTTGTAATTTTGTCCTATGTTTCATAACGTGTATATTTTCATTAGCAATCATGCATAACAAATAATTTTAAATCTATTTTTCATGACACATGTATGTACGTTCAGACTTTACAAACAATTGTAGTTTCAATTTTACAGGCATAAAAAAGTAATACACCCTGGTGGCCATTTCGTTAATAGTAATCCTGCCTATACTTCCCTTAGTCATGTTATACTGTCTTGATTTCAGACAGTTTTTGAATCTCCAAGTGTCTTCTTCATTTTAGAGGTCTGAAACTGGGGATATATTTTTAAGTGTTTAACAATCTTGACTTTAGAGTTGTTGTTTTTTCACTGGAGAGCTGTTTTTGGACCTTAAACTATTTCAATCTTAGTGTTCTTTTGAAAGTGAGGATCTGTTTTTAACTGTTGAACTGTCGTGATTTTAAAGACTTGAAACTGAGGGCCTACTTTTAAGTTTTGAACTATTTTGAATTTATAAATCTGAAACTGGAGATCTATTTTAAATGTTGAACTGTCTTGAGTTTAGATATCTGAAATTGGGGATCCGTTTTTGTATTTCAAACTGGCTTGAGTTGTTTCAAGATGTTGAACTGGATTAATTTCGATGAAAAAAATATATATTTCTGTGCACATTAATTTGAATGGCCATTTTATCATCTGTATATATAGTATGTGTGTGTGTGTTTGTGTAATAATGAGTACAATAGGGCCGTGGGAAGCGGCGAAGTCAGAGCATGGTCTGACTAATTTTTCATGGCATGTATAGCTAAAAGTTATGTATTAACACTTGTTTCTTTTAATTCAATACATTACGTTGTATGTATGTATTATTTGTAGTTAAAATAGATCAGGATTCAATCTCATAACATTATATTTTCAAAATTTGTCTAGGGTCGCATGCCTCCTGATCCCCTCCTAGAAATGCCATGCTTTTCACACATTGCGTGTCACGTTGTTTAGCTGTGGCAATGGCCTGACCACTCAAAAATTGTTTCCTACGGCAATGGCACAGTAGATAAATATTTTAGATAATGTGTAAAGTTGGTTCGTAGAAATTCTTCCTTACCAGTCGTATTGATAATTATTAAGTTTATTGAGTATGGTCACATAATGGTAAATGTGTTGATGGGAGCTATGTTGAGTTCAGATTTATAGTATATCAAACCATTAAGTATAACTCATATAACGCACCCACTCAAATTGTACTTCTAGTGAGATATAAGGACTTCTACCCGTTCTTTCCAGAGTTATAGCAGTGTGTTGACCGAGTAATAGCTGCAGTACGGTGCACCCTGCTGCCTCAAATTAGGCCTAATTGTCGTACTTTTTCACACAAACTATAAATGACCTCTACCCACTAAAAACCAACCTTTATCGTGTACCACAACCACCACCAGCTGCGTTGTAATTACTTAGATGAGACTTTAACGTGCAGAGAAATGAAGTTAATGCTTTATTTTCCACTTTTATGGCACTTATACTTATTTTTTCTCCTGTCTTATAAACACATTGAAATATTGCAGCCTACGTCATTCGATATTATTGCCTAACAAATAATAATATTTCAGCAGAGTTGTGTGAGTGTACTTCTTATGGTATAACACGGACACGCTCTTATTGTTTGATATTCTGTTGATAACGTATGTTCTTGTGAACACGGATTCGCTCTTATTATTTTATACTCCGTTGATACTATATGCTCTATTTTCAAGCAGAAAAAAAAATATTATTTTTTGTTTCGTTGACCATTATGATAATACCTTTAATTTCAAGTTAAAATAAGATCTATGCTCACAAGCACCGGATATCAAATATTAAGATAAACTAGATTAGCAAATGAGTTGCTATATCTCACAAACAAAGATATTATACTCAAATAAGGACTAAAATGTTTGTGATCCTCGCAAACGTCCAAGTACATACTCTGTAGTTAAGGGTGTCAAAATATTTTGATTTTATAGACATATCTGATCAGACATCTTACCTTATATCAACAAAGATATAACTGTTACATCTTTTCCTATGAAAGGATGCTACAATTTGATGAATATTAATTACCAATCGTTTTGTTACATCCTTGTATCAGCTACCATTTGTTTCGGTGCATCCTTTTATCAGCTACCAATTGTTTTGTTGCATGCTTTCATAAGTTACCAAATCAGTTTGTTGCACCCTATTATCAGTTATCAATCGTTTTGTTGCATGTTTTTATAAGTTACCGATCGTTTTGTTGCATCCTTTTATCAGTTATCAATCCTTTTGTTACATCCTTAATTAGTTACCAATCGTTTTGTTGCATGCTTTTATATGTTAACATTCGTTTTGTTGCATTCTGTTATCAGTTACCAGTCGTTTTGTTGCACCCTTTTATAAGTTGCCAATCGTTTTGTTGATTTCTATTATTAACAAAAAAGAAATTTGAAACATTTTTCAGCTGTCAGACTGCAAAAAAAGTACAGCTTGTTCACTCTAACCAGTTATTATACAATATTATATTCTGTTAGTTTCGACATACATTTTCAAATAATATCAAATAAACGGTTTATTTTTCTTTTTTTCTATTTAGAAAGATAATATGAATTTTTTCGTATATAGTTTTGTTTATGCTATTTCATCCTCACACTCGTGCTCCACAGTGTGCTTGATAACGTTAGATTAAGTTAACTACTTAAAAACAGCCCAAAATTCGATACTAAAATAACTTGAGCTCAAAACTATTTGCTTTGCTTTACAACAAAAATTGTTCATTTTGAAATCCAACATCTCTACTGTATTGTATATAAGCCGTTTATTCAGCTTTTATTCTAAACACGTATTGAAGTTGAAAATGTTTTACTTTTCTCTATACCGTTAAATGATCGTGTGTGCTTTCATCGAATGTGAATTTTTGGGGAAGTTTTAGTTTTGTTTTAAACTTTTCCTATTGATAACGTGAGTGATAATAGCTGCCTTCAGCAATCCGATTACATATTTCTCCGTACGTCATTGAGCGTTTTTTCTTTACATTCCCAGAATATTTTTTTGGCCAACATTACTTACATTCATGGCATACCTTTTTCAAACTTCAGCATTACGTATATTATATACTGTTTATTTTTCTTTACAATAGCTTCAAGTTTCAGAAACAAATTCATGGCAGAAAATGGGAAGAGGGGTATGTAATATTCTGGAGCCCGCTTTTTTCTCTGCTTTAGTCTTATGGGTTTCGTAAAGAAACAAACGCTTTACAATTCCAAAAAAGGCGGGCTCCATCCAATTAAACGGTGATCGATTAATCTGGAACTAAGACCATCAAAAGATTTCAGAACTCTGGTGTCCAAACTTTGCTTTCAGAAAGACGCATGCTGGTGGCCTGGCTCTCTGGTTAGGCGTGAACTCGGGTTTGATTAATGTCTCAACACAGTTGTAACGTTATCAGGGGGGAAATGATTCATCTCCCCCCAACCGTGATTTTGGTAGCTGGCTTGATGGCTTGGTCACTGGAATCGTGTAAGTCGTAAAACTTGGCAACTTGATTTCTGCAGAAAAATGTTTGTGGAGGAACACATATTAGTGGCTCATTTAGTAGACACTCTTAAAAAAACATACAAAAACATGCATGGCGTGAATGAAAAAAAATATTTCTAAGTTCAAAACTTAGCAACAAATTAGCGGTAAAAATCTTAAACGTGAGAAGTAGTCTCTGCTAAAAGAAGTAAGATGTAATTGTACTTTTATTGTTAAAATCCTGAAAAGTTATGTTTAAATGAAACATAAAACAAATTATCTGCATTAAGTTGTAATTTAAATACAAACTTTACAGCATTCTCTAACTTTAGCTCTTACTTCACCTCATTTATCCGTACTTTAGCGTATCTTAAGATCTTTATATTTCGTGACAACAACATAATATTTGTAGAGTTAAGCATCATACTAGCAGATAAATCTCAAAAATAATTTTTACCCTTAGGCTAATTCTTGAAGACAAATTCACAATTAGTTTTATTTAGTGACTAATAAAATATTTTATCTTATGAAATACAGTGTTATTTCATCAGGATATTAACTGTAGGGTTTTAAAAATGACCGTTAGATTGTCTCCAGCCCTACATTGTTTAGTGGTAATAGAGTATAGAAGTTAATATACACACACTTATAACCAAGAAGACTTTGGGACTTTCTCTCATTAAAATACGTGTTTTTGGCAAGCTTTCGGCTCCATTGCTAGAATCTTCGTGGACAACGTC